GAAGGAAGGAAGGAAGAGAGGGAGGGAGGGAGGGAGGGAGGGAGGGAGGGAAGGAAGGAGGTTAGGGAGGAAAGAGAGGAAAGAGGAAAAAGAGGCAGAAGGAAGTAAGAGAAAAAGGGCTCATGAATCCCACAGGGAGAGGCAGTTACCAGAAACAAACTACAAATCAGTGGCAAACAAAACTTACAGCATCTTGTAAATGAATTGGCAATAAAGGGGTGCTTTATTTGTCTCAGGTAAGGAGTGATCCAGAAAACCAGTGGGCTCGTGGAACAAAAAAGATGAAAAAGAGATAGAAGATATACCAAATAACTTTTTTTACATAAGTCACTCCTATGTCTACTATATCTTTTGAGGTATGCAATGGGTCAGAGGTCATAATGGGAAATGTGCAAGAGACTCTGGTTCCAAGCAACAAACTAGAGGTAGTCACAAGCAACTGGAACTAAGTGATACAGTTACCAGGATTCTTCCTCTGCAAAACTATTTAGTTTGTAAAGATTTGTTTTTGTTTCCCTTTCCCTCTACTGTTCTGTTACCCATTCCTGCTCCTCTAAATTCTCAAGGTGTTCATGCCCTAACTCTTTCAAAATCTGCTGTGAAAAAAAAGTGCTGTGAGAACCATACACCTAATGGCAGAGTGCGGGTAAGGAGGATAGGTTGTAACAAAATTCCATTTTAAGGACAATTTCTAATTGTAGAATAAAAGTATGTTTCTGTTAAAGAAACTTCACATTATTAGTCTAACAGATGGGAAAGATGTTGGGTCAGAAAGGCTCCCTGCCACCCTTGAATAGAGCGGTGCCTTCATATAACACCCTGACCAGACTTGACTCCCGAAATTATTGTACATCTAATGAAAACCTGGAACCTGTTATCCTGGATGATCATTGTGCAAAAGGGGCCTGGGAACGACACACTGATGAGTGTCTAGTACTTCAGTAGGCAAGCTGGAAGAATCTTTAATAAATGCTGGCCTCCTGTACATTAGGGCTGGAGTGGTAACAGGGTTTCTGTAAAGAGAAATCATGTATGATCTTCCATGCATCTTTTTTCGGGACTAAACTCACTTTTAAAATGCTTCTAATTAATTTTGGTGCCAAGGCTATTTTTAAATATGAATTATCATAGGATTTAAAATATTTTTTCCTTATCATATAGTAAGAACTATTTAAGAGACAGAGAGAAAAAGACACTGGGAAATCCTCAAGTCTGTAGATGACACACAGCATTTCCAGGCAGTGAAGTACCAAGTTGATGGGCGCTTAAGGAAGGTCTCAGGAGGCTTTATGATTGGCAGATGGGCTTCAACAGGGGCATACATAAGGTAGTCCATTTAGGGAGGGCCAATATTATAAACTACTCTTGCAGAATTATGAGTGCTAACCTTTCAGGAAAGAACTATAGGAAACTCTGTGTGCAGAGCACTGAGGAGAACAACCTAGTTTCCTGTTATGGAATAAAAAAAGGGTAACAAAATGTTGGGCACTGTCAAATGGATTAAGAGAAAAACATAATAATTCTCCTTTTACACAGAACCATGGGACATCTTCATGGGTGAAGTTACACAAGCAGCTCTGATCTACACATGTCAAGGACAGAACAGAGCCTAAGGTGAACAAAGAAGGGCAATTAAAGCCATCAATGTCAGGCTAAAAAAAAAGACTCTTTCAGTCCAACAATATAGAGGTAGCCAGGGGACATGATCAAAATCCTAAAGAGGCTAGAGCTGCTGCATGATGACTTGGCCTGACAAGTGTCTTCAGCTAAGAGACACCTTTGAACATAAAGTTTTTTATTTCTTTTTTTATTTATCTTTATTGTTCAAAGCATTACAGATGTTTTTTATT